TCTCCTGACGAGACCTCAAATTATCTTCGTAATATAATATCTATCAAACTATTTATCCTATACATCCACTGGATATGGATTCTAAAAGTACAATATACACTTCTCGCTAGAAATCAAATCAAAAAGCATTTTAATGGCCAAACTATTCTACAATTTAGGATTTTCCAGAGAGGGTTATTTGTGAATATACGACCCTCCGGAGCGTTTGCAATCAACGGGAGAATACCACAAATTGTTGTTTCTTACACGATCACTAGAGGTGCTAAACTTTAAAATGTGACAATAGGTCGTAATAAGCTGCTGAACAATCGACCTATTTGGTAGTTTTTTGGAGGAGGACAGGCTGCTCATAATTGTAATATAGCATTAAATTGCATTTCAAATGCATGCATTTGCTGCTTGCTTCAGTTCAAATATTGAGCTTTATAGACTTTTATCAGGAGAGAAATGTGTCCGCTGCTACATCTTCACTGTATGGACTTCTATCAAGGGTGGGAAAGGATTTTGTACAACCTTCTAACTTTCGTTACATTTTTAAACACGTCATTTTAATAGATTGGTTTTTCATTTTCCTTTTGCTTTAAGGATTGCAAAAGGACTTTATTTGATCAGAAAATCACAGATGTCACATTTCTTTCTTTATTCCCATGTACTAAATTAAGTCATCAGCCCTTAGATAAATTAAAGGAAATAATTCACAACATTGAAATACCTGAATGAAGAAAGTAAACATATTAAATTACATTTCACATCTGAGAGGTATTTATATATTCTTGCTGAACTTGGTCAAAAGTCTCACACATAATCTGAGTTGACTGAGCTGCTTTTATAAATGATCTGCTTTAATCCCAGCAGCAACCACATTTGTTTTCTTACCTCTGCTCCTTCCCCACCCTGCTCCATTCCCCCATATTCTCCCTGCAAGACAAAAGAAGAAGAGCGAGAACAAGTTAGACGGAAAAAAGAGTTGGAGTGGTGAGCATGAAAGAATGAGGTGTTGGCAGGGTGGAGGGTCTCAAGCACCAATGGCAGTCTAGCTTTCACTTTCCTCCAGCTCTGATGTAACAAAGCAGTTGAGAGCACAAAGGTCATGCTTTAGGCTTGACTCAACTCTTATCATGGTGAGCCAGGGGGTTCAGTTGGTGGATTAGAGTTATACAGCCGGTAAAGGTGACAGGAGCACAGGCCTTGTTCAGCCTGAGCAGTGCATGAAGCCATTTTGGTGCATGCCACGACTATATTGGCTTATCTGACGTGCTGGAGATGTGGCTGAGAGCAGTCGTGTTCAAAATTCCTCTGTGAAGCAAGGAGTCGGACCAGGCAGTACGGTTATGATAAAACTGATTTATTTCAGTTGTGATAAGGAATACAAATGCTCAGCTGAGGTCTCTGGAGATCAGTGTTCCACAGGCCGCGAGCAGTTTCCACTCCAAGCAGTTAACTGTCTCACATTTTCCTTCCAGAGCCCCGGAAACTGGCCAAACACATTTCATATACTTAGTACAGAATAAAGGTGTCATATTATGATTGGATGTGTATTTATGAGTGAGGTGCTGTCGATTGTTGATTGGAGTACAGGCGAGCCCACGCCTCTTGGCTTCACCCAGGTCCAGTCTTCTTCCCAAGGTCATCCAGGCCCTACACTACACTGACTGTCTGTTTCTCCTGTCAAGTGCTAAGCTCTGAACTGCTTGTGATTGGCACGGTGCCCTCTCCTGAACCTCAGCGAATACATCTAATAAAAGTAGCAGAAATGCAGTTCCTTCCTTATGTTGTGCTCACCAATAACACTGTCATAAAGCTCACTTCTATTCATAGTTTAAGACCTTCTGGTAGCACATTATTCATAAACCTTTCTTTATTTGTCTTTATTTGTCATATGAACATAGCTACAGAGTAGTTAAGCCTGTGACCTAAGATTTTCATCAACATAACTACTCTGTAGCTATGTTTGTATGACAAATAAAGAACCTTGAATCTTGAAGCAATAATGTTCTTCAGAGCTCTAAATATGTCACTTTCCGCTGCACAGGGGAGCTACATGGTGAGAAATGGACAGTTTTAGTAATAATGTTGCCTATACCACACAAATAAGTGAGCATCTGAGAGGTCAGAGGATAACATTTGCATCAGATGATTTTATTACATTGAAGAGTTAATGGATCATTTATCCAAAGCCTCAAATACTCCAGGAATCTTTCAATTCATGTTTGGGGAGCATCATTGCATCTTCTGTTCCTCTCGACACTCACTGAGTGGGCTATTAGCTAATACACACCATTTCACTTGTTCATAGTTACAGTACTTCCTCTATCTCTCTAAACAGTGATGACAACGTTTCACTAAACCCGGGCTCCTCCTGCTGTGAGGAAAATATAAAAACAGCCCTCTTCTTCCTCCAAATCTACATTACACTCTGCAAGTGATGTGTGTGTGTGTTTACTGAGGATTAGCAACTGTGTTCTGCTGGTTTTACTCATCATTTAATTACAGAGGAAGTATAGAGGAGATGTCACTAAATGGCTTCTATGCTGTTAGACTGAATGTCATTGAATCAAAAACGTCATAAAGTATATTAACCTCTGCTAGACATCGTGGAAAATGGTTAAATCGTGACTTTCGTAAAGTCAAATCCCGGCTTTTGAGGTACTTGCAGTGACACAGCTGATGTATATCCGGTATCAAGCTGTTTAAATATTCATATTCCCTATAAGTTTCAATAATGGAAATTCCCTCATCTCTCCCTTGTTGAAATGTTTTCCCTTTATTTATATATTTACTAATGAATCCCCTTTACACTGTGTTTTTGTTTGATTGTCCTGTTTGTGTGATTTCACACCTGTTATTAGATATTGTTATATTATATGATGATTTACAGAACTATAATAATTATTGGGGCTAGCAACGTTAGCGCTATAACGATAAATCTGAAACCTCTACGCGTTTAAATAAAATGTGTATGTGTTTGTTATATTTGACTTGTTTTGTGAAGTAGGTGTGCTCTGCTCCTGTATTTAAATGGCCGTTGTCTGGAAAGCATCTGGTGCTGCTGACCTTCATTCATCGTGGACTTCATGAGCCTTTAGTGCCCTCTTGTGGCCTTTCCCCCAAATATAAGTGAGTGTTGTTTTTGTGCAGACTTTATTTCCTATACAGTATTTGGTAGGCCTACAGCCTGTAGTTACGGCTTCATCAAATCATTTTCATTAGTTTATGAGGACTTAAAGTAGTATTTGCTGAAAAGAAAAGAGCAAATCTGACACTACTGTTATGTTTGGGTAGTTTGTGATTTCTTGCTCCCTCAAGTGGCAGAAAGCAGAATTTCACATTAATGTAACTGCTTTTTTCTCACATTTCCTCTTCAATGCTGCACTGTGTCATGTGCCTTCACACAGTGGTTGAATATAACTAAGTACCTTTATTAAAGTTCCCTACTGAAGTCATATTTGACATCATTTTTCCTTTATACTTAAACTCTGTAATTTGTACTTAACAGCATATATTTAACACTCAGGTACTAGTTACTTTTTACATATATAAACACATGAAATACTATATGATATGATGCAGTATGTTACAAATTATAAACCCAGTATTTTTGAAAGTATCTATAATTGGCTCCACATTGAACAACTACAACTTTTAAGTGCTAGGAATTTGTAATGATAAAAAACAGGATACTATAATAACCATAATAATATAATGTTGTGGAAAGAGCCATTCTGTATAACATGCACTTTTTATTTTTCTGATAATAGTTTTACAACGTATAATCTGTTCTGGTATTGGCCATTGTGCAGAGTGAGTCATTTTGCTTGTTGTAGTTCAAGTATATTTGGATGCCAATCATTTTGTACTTTTACATACGCAACATTTTGAATTCAGGACTTCTACTTAAAACCATAGTATTTCCACTTTCACTGAAGTTAAGGGTCTGAATACTTATTCTCACACTAGATTCACAGATCACCTTGTTCAGATTGTATGAATACATTATATAACATGAAAACATGTATACATACAAATCGTTTTGTTAAAAGACTTGGTTCAACAGAAACAAAGACAAAACCTTTTCTAACTAACGTATTTAATACTTCCTAAATGACCAGAAACAGATTTCAATGAGTTTGTGGTAATTATAATAATTGAACTGCTGTTTTTAAATGTCATTTTGTAATGCATGGTACCATAAAATACATTTAGTGTCCTGCATGTTGTTCTGGTGGAGGCAGAATACTCAGTTAAATCTGAACATCTGGATGAAAACACAGAAAAACACAGATAGATTATTTTCACTTGAGAAAAGGAAACTGACGACTGACTTTGATCAGAATCATTTTATTGTTATATTTGCTTCAACATCTTTATTGTGTTCATAGGATCTGACAACATATCCTTTTTGTTGGTTTCCATTATGCACACAACTTTATGTTTGTCAACCTGAATACAAGTAACAACAAAAAAAAGGATATAAATGTTAAACTATATATGATATATTTTTCAACTTTCTTGTCGCTGGATCTACTTTTAATATATCTGAAAATATCAATTATATATATATATATATATATATTGTGCACACAGCATAATGTTCTTTAAGCTAATTATTTGAAAATAATAAAACAAATGGAATATTTAAAAGTAAAACATAAATGAAAAGATAACGATGTCTTGCATGAAACTATAACAGTACAAATATTAAAGAATAGTGATGCCATTAGATAACATCTGTTTCTCATGGCCTTTGTGCATTAAGCAAAGTTGAATAATAAAACAAAACATGTAAATAGTTGAGTAAGTAATAATAAGTAGTACAAATAAAAGCAGGTAAAACATGATCTCATCACTAGTCTTTGCCTACATCATCATGTTGTGCACACGGCATTGAGAGTTTTTAAAAAGATATTATTAAAAAAAAATGTAAAAGTAAAAATATAAATGATAAAAATGTCTTGCATGAAACGATAACAGTAAACATATTGAAGACATATGAGACAACATCTGTTTCTCTGTTCTTGTATTTTAACATTATCAACAACATCAGCTTCTTTATATTTGTGCACTAGTCTTTATGAAAAGAGCAATCATCAAAAAATAAAACTCGTGTAATCTGAGCAATCAGTCCTTCTTTCTGACTTGTTCATCACATCATTATCCGTTAAAAGAATGAAAATCAAAAGTTCCTCATCAACAAGATGTGAAGGATGCCACAGTATTTGCACATGAAGCAAAACGTCATCAACATGCACTTACAGTACTTCAACTGAGGCTGGCTTATGTACTCTCCAAGAACACTTCAACGTTTATATTTACAATAAATGGTGAATAATAAAATCAAAAAAAGAAAAACGGTGGAGAAAGTAATACTAAGTAGTAAAACAAAACAAACATGATCTCATCACATGGTCTTTAGACATCATTGCATGAACACAAGGAATGAGTACACATTATAAAACAAGAAAAAAAAGCAAGTCATTTGTATCTTTATGTATTATTCCCATACTGGTATCAAATCTCCTAATTGTGTCCTCCTGGTTTTTATCTGCAAAACGTGTTACTTAAAAGCTCAAATGTGAAGCAATACATGAGTCATGCGGACATTTACATCTCTCTGTCTCCAACACGGTCTTTGTAGTAAACCATCGTTATCATTGACATCAACTTTGTTATAATGCACAACGTTTAAGACAGTTTAATGAAATGTAGTTACAAAACTAAAATGACAGAAACAAATAACATGATGTCTTTCTTCAGGTGGACTATGATGTACATCATTTTGAGTATAATTTTGTTCACATTACAGGAATACAATATCTTGAAAATAGACAGAACATAACGATGTAAAGAATTGTTCCTTTTTTTGTTGACATCAGTATCGTGCCTACCAGTCATTGTACATGAGGTCTTATAGAAGATTGATAAAGAAAAACAAAACATTTGTAATCTTAAAAATAGTAACAGACTGAAGGATGCCAGTAAACATCATGGTGCAGTCAACTTTATCATTTTTTACATTTTTGATCTGTTTGGTATTTTTGCCCTGTTTTTTTGTTTTTCTCTGTACATTTGGATATGAAAAATCTTCCCATGTTTAAATGTTGTTTTTTAAGAGATATTTGTCAGGATCACATGTTGTTCATGTAATGTTGAAGGCTTCCTTCAAGCCTTTCAGTGCTTGTTCCTTTGTAATTTTCCTCCATGCTTCTGGAACATCAGCTGGCTTGGCGTTATATTCTTGGGCAAATCTCTCATTGTATTTAACCAGGACATACTTCCAGTAGTCAGATGCCTCCCTGGTGTAGTCTGGAGGAATGAGCCAGTCTGGGTAGATCGTGCTGTAGTCCTTGTAAGGATGCCACTCTTCATTAGTGTCTACACATCTGAATTTACATTCACTGTGAACGTCAGTTGTGCACAGTGTTTCCACCAGCTTCTCAGAGTGCCTTCATAGCTGTATCTACCGAGACCTTGTGGCCGATGAACAGCTGCATGATGTTCCTTATGTTTTTTACCTCCGGCTTCACAAGGAACTTTACAAAATGGACATTGTTGTCCACAACCAAACACCCGATTGAAAAGCTCATCCTGTGGTTTGGTTGCAAGTTTGTTCACAGTCTCTGTGATGTCTTCAGATGTTGAGAACTCCTCCTGCAGCTGTTCATTCATTTCACTCAATGATTTGACGAGGCTCTCTTTAAATGGATGGCATGTGCTTTGGATTTGAAACAGGGCGGTTTTTTCAGCCTCTTCTGAAAGAGAGACATCTTTGGTCAAAAATGTGCGCATGTTTTTGATGAGCTCTGTGATGCTTTCCTTGTTATCTGGCAGCAGGACACCATCCTCTCCTTTTGAGGCCCTTTCAGTTGCATCTGTTATTTTCTTAACTATGACTTTCAGATTCTCACTTTTCAGTTTGCATAAAGTTTTGTCCTCTGACATTTCTTGCAAGATGTGCTGAAATATAAAATCCTTTACATAAATTTCATATTTACGAATGAACTTGACAAAACTCTGAAAGTCTTCCTTTTGCAGCAACTCTTCCTGAATGTTGTACTGGAAAAAGTTTCGTGAACTGTACTCTGCTGAATGGCGGCCTGCCAAAACTTCATCCACAATGTTGGTTCCCAGATGTCTACTGATGTACTCTTCCACAGCAGGTTTGATACAAAGCCTGACAAAAGCCTTTGCTTTGCGTTGGCAATGATCTCTCTTTTTGTATAGATCGATAAAATCCAACAAGTACTGAGGCTCGTACTTCTTCAGCTGAATTTTGGGATCCCTTGCCGACAAGACATTTCTGTGCATTTGAAGAAACTCTCTTGAGGCAATGCCACAAATGTGAAGCTTCAGGTCAATCTCAAACTTGGGATTGAAAGTCCAGGATTTAAGGGATTCATCTACTTTTTCCAAAAGATCCTTTGTTAAAGAGTCATGGTAATCTGCATCAGTCTTTGCAATATCACATACAGACCGTGTGATACACTCAATTAAGTAGTCTACATTTCTCTGTAATTCTCTCTTTATACCTTTTTTTTTCCAAATCTTTGCAATAATTACATTTGCGTAATACTTTACACCTTGGACATGTTCAGTTTTGACTTTAAATGGGCCCTTGACTATGTCCTTTAGATCTTTAATATTCTGTAATTCCTCATTGAAGTTACGATTTGAGAAATGTATCCTCAACTGTTGAAGGACTTTTTCAGATATGTTTAGTTCTTTCAGTCCAGACACATTTGCAGTGACTTTTGTCCACATCTCTTCGAAGTCACGTTTCAATTCTTCTTCAGAAAGTTCCAACTGTTGTTCGATGCAGTGTTTGCGATCGCTCAGGAGTTTCATTACTTCTTTTTCAATCATTTCTCTCTGTTTGCTTTGAATGTCCTGAGCTTCTTTCAAACTTTTTTTTTCTTCAAGCGCACAATCCAATGCGTTGTTTACTGAATGTTGGAATTCGTCTTTAAGACTTCTGATACGGTTGATAAAGTCAATTTTGTATTTCTCTACAAGATTCACATGTATGTCTTTCCTTTTGTAGTAGTCATCAAGTTTCTCGTCCATTTCTGTTCGTCCACCCTCTATTCTGGCGATCAACTGTGTTTTTATTGAGGCAACCAATGTCTTCCAAGTGTTCACATGTGTTTGGTTGTCAGAATTGAAGATCTCTAACTTTGCCCCATCCTGCCAAAAGATCAAGTCTTTTTTGAATTTCCATTCCCATTGACTGAACTCCTTGCAAAGGTTGTCATAAGCATGAGCCACGAGAGTGTTTCTGAAACTGAAGATGAAGTTCTCATATTTGACTGCTTTCCAGAGACTTCTTACCCATTCTAGAAACTCTGGAATCCGTGAAACATCACCGGTTTTGTCTTTTTTCACTGTCTCCAAGAGGTTTTTCTTGAAATCTGCTACAGCTTCGCTGTAACCTGTGTTCACTGAAGCCATAGGTGGAGTCCCATGCCAGAGTCCGGGGATGTTCCAGTTGTTTTCTTTTATGTCATAGTCCAGCACATCTGTGAATCTCTTTATAGTGGGATGCTTTTCCATTTCTGCAGCAATTTCAGTCATTTCATTGAGTTGGTCCAAGAGATGTTGTCTCTCTGTCAAGGTCCTTGCATGAGCAGAGACTCCAGCAACATTCTGGTGCACAAAATGACAAATTGGCTTTTTACCAATTTTCTTCATTCTCAGGAATGCATGGATTGCAATTTGCAGGATATCTTTCATTTCTGTGGAGTTCTCTGAAGCAACATTGATAATTGTGACATCACTTAAACCAATGACAAAGGTTGCCAGCTGGTTGTCATGCCAATAACTGTCTTCTAGTTGTGCCAACTGAGGAGCCTTGAGGCCCTCTGTGTCAATGAGAACTATGAAGTCACAGTTCAGCTGGTGTTGCATATCATCACTTACTCTGAGGAAGAGCATATACGCTCCTCTTGTGCATCTGCCACTGCTGACTGCAAACTGCACACCGAACATGGTGTTGAGGAGTGTTGACTTCCCGGTGCTCTGAACACCCAACACGGTCAGTACCAACAGTCTGCTCTTCTCTCCAACCTTCCTGTGTAGCTCCATTAGTACATCTGTCACCCATTTCTCTGGGATGTTGGAAGCATCTCCATCCAAGAGCTCTAAAGGATATCCATCCAACAGCAGTTCAGCTGCCAAACCAGGGAGACGATGTACTTCATCAGCAGAGTTTTGTGACTGCAGGAAAACTCATAGATCAGTCCCATCTCTCTCATGTAATGCTCTATCCCTAATGAGCTTTCCAGCAACTCCTGATCCAGCTTTGCAATCGCTTTCACATCTTTGTCCTTTTTGTTGCTTTGTTCTGTCCATTTGTGGCAGATTGAAGATAGCTGATCCCGTGAATGAGCATCCAGTTTGAGTTTCATCCACTTAAGGAAGAAATCTCTGCTCTTGTTCTCATTTTTAGGTAACTTTTCAATGAAACTCTTCATATCATCTGATAGATTCTGTTTGCCAAGCTTCTCCTTGATTTGTTGTCTTTCTCTCTGCAGCTGAGTTTTATATTCTTCCGGTTTTACATTACCATTTATTTTCAACCTACATTCATTTTTCTCTAACTGCGATAACCTTTTCCAGTCAGCGCCTTGCAGAGGAAGCTGTTTTCTCTTGTAATCTGGTATCTTCTGCGCCCTAATTCCTTTGACAATCTTCTCAGCGGTTTTCTTTTGGTCACCACTTGTGCATTCGTCCACAGACAGACCAAGTTCAACAGCTTTTCTGAAGCATATTTTCAATGCTCATTGGTAGTGTTCCAACTGTTATCTTGTTAATGGCTGCAGAAAGTTTATCTGAAAACTCCACAACATTTACTCTTGGGTCTTTAACTTTCACACTGCTGTTTGGCAAATCTAATTCTTTCACTGTTTTCCTGACAGACTCCATGTCCTCTTTTGAACTTCCATCCTTGCGGTTAACAACCAAGAACAGTTTGGATTTCGCATCTTGAAGAGAAGTCAGAATCTCATGCTCCTCTTTTTCAATTGTGTCCAGGCAAAACAAAGGTAGCAGTTGACACTTGAAACAGAAAAGTGAACTGAGCAAGTGACTCAGAAATGTTTCCTCTCAGATTGGCAAATGCAATTGGGTCTGGAAATACATCAGGATAATCTCTGCCTCTGAGAAGGTACCAGCACACCTCAGCCAAGCCATTGGCAATGTGTCTTTCAATTGCTCCTCCTTTCATGTCTCTGTGTATGAAGTAATTGTGATACTGCTGGCCAAGGCTGAGAACTTGATTCAAAATCTGGGACTTGGACAAACTACAATTATGGAGCCTCACAAAGGAAAAGAATGGTATCTTTGCTTGGACAATGTGGTTTTCAACAAAGCCTCTTGATTCAGACAGGTGTGGACACCACTCTTTGACAATGTCCCTCAGAGCCCAAAGCATCAGTGTACTCTGACTGTTATTGACATGGGGCATCAGCAGTGGGACAGAAAACTGGCACATTGACATCTTGAGGGCCATTTCCTGTTGCAAGAAGCTGTCAGCACAAAGGAAGAGTGCTGTTACGAGGTCGAGAGGGTTAACCCTATCGTCTGCAGTGTAAAGGTCAAGTTCAAGGGGATCACTGCTTTCTTCCTCATCATCACTGTTTGATACTTGTGTACAGCCCCTGCATTCTGCATTGAGTTTAAATAGTTTACTGAGAAAGCACCAAGGTATTTTCTGTACTGATGAGGCAGCTTCTTCATTTATGCTGTTTTTGTTGATCTCCAATAGAGACCGAAGAGTGAGCTTGTTGGGATAAAATGACTCCAGTCCCAGTTTGGAGAGAAAGGTGATTAGGACTGTTAAAGAGAAAGAGAAGGTCATATTTAGATATTAGGCAGCCCTTAATGGATCGTATATGGATGTTTCCTCGAGGTCTGACGTGCTGAAGGCATTTCCTTTCTCATTTAACATAAAGCCACATTTTTTGTATTATTTTTAAATGTATGGATTTTTGTACATCTATGTTTGCAAGCTTGCATAATTGCTTATTTTGTTGGATTACAGTCCAGGGGTGCCCACACTTTTTTGGCTGGTGAGCTACTTTTAAAATGACCAGCTCACTGAGGTCTACCAACCAAAAATAAAATCCCAAATTGCAAGGGTTGCTGAATAACACGTTTTATTTATACATGGGATAACTACAATCAGTGCTGGAATTGGGCCGGTACTCACCGGTACGCAGTACCGGCACTTCTGGTTCTGACCCATGGAGTACCGGCACTTCTTGCTCAGTACCGGCATGCTGGCGGTACTCCGGTACTCATGCACCGTGCCAGTACTCAACACTCTCCCGCCGTTCTTATTATACATCCATATATATATATACAGCCGCCCGGTACTCAGTAGATGCGTCATGAGGTGCCGAACGGACATTCTCATCGCTCTACCCGCTGGAGTTTCACAGCGGCTGTCAGCTGTTTACTCCTGTCATTCAAACAGAACGTGCTGGAGAGGGGGCGGGGCTTATCTTCTCCATGTAAATACTGTGGTGGAAACGACTATGTCAAAATTAACCTATTTGACCGTGATTTAATAGTAATACACGTTTCAAAATAATAATAATAATAATAATGCCGAAGTAACAACATACTGAAAACTGTTAGTAAAACCATGTTTTAATGCTTTACAATTTACATACCTAGATGCACGTGTGTTGTGTTTATGCAGTGCAACTCCCACCCAGTGGGTGGCTATGTAGAGTGATAGAACAGAGCAGGCACGCCCCCGAGAGAAGGAAAGCAAGTCACGTCACAAATTAGCATTTCTAAAATGTTAGCGTGGATTAATAAAAGTGCAAAAAGACAGCGGTTGTCGCCGGAAGAAACTTCAAATACAGAGAATGCTGTGCCTGTGTTGGAAATTGTGTCTGATGGGGAGCTTTCTTTGGTTGATCCTCCTGCTCCAAGTTCTAGTGCATTAGCATTAGCACTAGCTCCGCCGCCTCCTCCAGAGCCTCTAACGTTAGCTGCTGCTGGCGCAACTGCCACCACCAACACCGGGCAAAGCGATGCACCTGACTGCTGGACAACGGACCAGGTGCAATATTTTTGCAAGACCAATGCATGGCTCCTTCTTAAAGATAAGAAGCTAGGATGTCGGATATGCAGAGATGTCAAATCTTTGGGAATACACACTGGACAAGGACTGAAACTGTCAACTGAATGGGGTGAGTGGGCAGTGTCTCATTTCGGTGTTGACAAGGGCAAACAACAAGCTAGCCTGAGAAAAAAAATCAAAGAACATAAAGAATCACAAGCCCATGTAAAAGCTGCTGACATCCTTACATCTGCTTCACGTGAAACTATTCAACATCAAGTGCAGTCTATGCATAAATCTGAATTAGACACTACTATCAGAGTTTTTCGAACGGCATATAAAATTGGCAAACATAGCCGGCCATTCACAGACATGCCAATTGATTTGAATGTACAGAAACTGAATGGGCTGAACGTGGGCAGGGTTTTGCACTCCAATAAAACCTGTGGCGAAATCATCGACCACATAGCTCATGAGCTGAAGAAAAAAATGGCAAAAGACATTACAGAAAACCAAAGAAAACTCTGTGTTTTGGTCGATGAATCTACCACTATTAGTGGTAAAACGGTGCTTGTTGTGTGTCTACGCTCAGCATTAGCTGATGCTGAGCCCGAAACGTTTTTTGGGAGCTGATCGAGTTGGATGGAACAACGGCTGATGACATCACAAAGGCGTTAATGGAGTGTCTTGGAAGAGATTTTAACGAGGACTTTTTAGGTCAGTGTTTAGTTTCTTTTAAATGTGATGGGGCTTCAGTCATGCTAGGGAAGAGAACAGGCGTTGCTACCCAGTTGTGTAGTAAATTCCCAAGCCTGTTTGTGTGGCACTGCTCCAATCATCGTCTAGAGCTGGCAGTTGGGGATGTGGTCAAGGAGGTCTCAGGGCTCAATCATTTCCAGATCTTTTTTGACAAACTCTATTCCTTGTTCCATGCCTCCCCCAAAAATCAGAGGCAGTTAGCGCAGTGTGCGCAAGCAGTCGGACAGCGTCTCCTGGTGATAGGGCGTGTTTTGTCCATCCGCTGGGTGGCTTCAAGTGAAAGGAGCGTCAGAGCAGTCTGGGAAAACTACCGAGTGCTTCATGATCACTTCACAAATGCTGCAAACGACACGAGCAGGGATTCCAGAGACAGAGCAAAGTACAAGGGCCTGGATGATGTGCTCACATCTGCAACGTTTGTCAGCAATCTGGGACTGATGTACGATGCGCTCACAGAGCTCAGCGACCTCTCTCGGCAACTCCAAAAAAGAGAGATGACACTGCCTACAGCAGATAGGCTCTTAACTCGAGAAATACGAGTTTTTGAATCCATGGTCACCATGCCTGGCCCACACATGACTACAGTTCATACAGCTCTAGCTGAGAAGTCCTTCAAGGGTGTTGCCCTGCGTGAGAATGGCAGGCTTGTACAGATTCATGCAGGTCAGTTTTTCCGCAGTATGGTAGAGAATCTGAGACACAGAATGACTTCCACAACCTCCTCTCATGTCAGCACAAGAGAAATCCCATTACATGGCCGGGAGGCCCGGGACAATCAGCTAATCCAGGACATGAAAGTTATCCATCCTGGAAGTTGGCCTGAAGAGGAGTTTAGACGTACAGTATGGGGACGTAGAGGTGCTACGTTTGTGCGAAGTGCTGAAAGTGGACAGAAGAGAGACTGTTCAGGGCTTTCGCGAATACAAGGAAACCAGGGCATCCCGTACACCTGCTGCCATGGAGCCTCTACTGAAAGCAGTCCGAACCATCGCTGTCTCCACTAGTGAGTGTGAGCGGGCATTCAGCTGCATGAACGATATCCTTACTGCAAAAAGGAATGCTCTCTCTGTCAGCCGACTGTCCAGCCTGGTTTTCATTAAATGTAATGGACCATCACTAGGACAGTTCAATCCGGAACAGTATGTGAGGTCCTGGCTGGCAAAGGGAAGGAGAAGTGCTGATGAAAGAGCCTGTCCAGCTCCAGCCCCTGATACTGATGTCCCCAAGGCCTTCTGGAGCCTTTTCTAACAATGTGAAGTATATTGCAAAGCAGCTCACCCAGTGAGAAGACTTTTGGCATAATGTGCCGATTTGTACAGATCCTGGAGATAGAAGGACTTCAGACCAACCAGGGAGTTATCTGATCAGCTTGGTGTTCAATGTAACTCTTTACCATGGCTCAGACTTTGTTACTTGCAGTTACAGTTTCTCATTTTAGATTGTGCAAATGTTGCATTTGTTTTTACATGTTCTTTGTTCATGCTCTTTATCATTTTTCTGAGTTGGAAAGTTAGATTGCATCATAGTTTACTTTATACATATTTGTATTCTTCAGTGGTGAAGTATATTGCAAAGCAGCTCAGCCATGTGAGAAGACTTTTGGCACTTTTTCGTTTTTCGTTTTCTGAGTTGGAAAGTTAGATTGCATTCAAAATGTACAGAAATACTTAATTTTGTTAAAGCTTTTTATAAAAAATGCTTCTGACCAGAGCTTTGTTTCCTTGTCATTAATGTTGAACACCACCAGAGGGGCTCTCACCTGAAAGGTCTCTGCTTCATGTGTCTTCAGCAGAAGATCTAGACTTTGATTGCTATATTTTCAGTTAATATTGACCTTACTGTTTAGCCATATCCGCTGCCTATCATACAAAATGTTAAGTACAGTGAACCTTTCTAAAATATACAGTAGTAAAGAGACAAACCCACCAGCATTATAGTAGCCAAATTCTTGTTTGTGGGCAGTATATATAAAATTGACTTGAAAAAGTTGCTGATTTTAGAGTACTGGCACCTTTTTCATTCCAATTCAAGCACTGACTACAATAGGGCTGCAACAAACGACTCATTTGATAATCGATCTATCGATTAATGAAACGATTAATCGACTATTCTGACTATTACTGTATGCCTTGCACAATCTCTCAAACGCTGTTATTTAGCCATCAACTTTTAGATGTAGCTTGAGGTTGTTTTAGGCATGTGGAAACTAACAATGAAGACAATAAAGTTGAATACTTGATTCAAAAATACATATATTATTAAATTAACAAATTGTGAACAAAATTAACATTGCTTTTTATTTAAATAAAATAAATAATATTTCACATCAAAAGAAACAACAATGTTTTAACAAATCGTATTAAATAATCTGATGACAGAACTGTGAACAGAATAGCTGAAACTTTAACAAAATAAAGAGTAACTCAGTTTCCTCTAATAATTAACCCATGTTTGAATAATGGAGTTAACTCGTGTGTTGCTGCTAGCATACATAACACCTGACGTGGAAACGTTACTCGTGGATGGGGCTACAGAGCTACTAGAAAGACACTCGAACCCGGTGCATTCCTCCGTCTGAATGTGGTGCACTTTTGATAAATATTTAGACACATTGCTCGTGTTACCGCCCTTACATGCTAAACTCTTGGATACAGGTCGAAAATACACCGACCATAGACGCATTTGTTTGTCTTTTTGCATGTTAGAAACGAGTTGGCGACACTAAGACTGCGAGATAATGTTTGTTTAGCAATAATACCTGACCTTTCTCTTTCTCAACTCGCTACTCGGAGGGGAGTCGCTGTCATATGCCTTGTGAACACTCCGATAATGCCTCTCCACGTTACCTTTTTTTGGCAGAGCGACGCTTGCTTTACAAATAAGGCAAATAACCTTTGAATGTGACATCACAAACAAATATTCTTCCTCCCATTCTGGGTGGAAGTGGTATGTCTTTAGCTTTTTGCTCGGTCCCGCACTCATTTTGTTGTTTGTCTCTTTAAAGATCAAATGCAAATATTTTTTTATAATTGCCAGTAAAATCGAAATCATATAGCTACAACACTATCTAAGATATTGCAGTATTAAAATCGGAGATAATATGCGTCTGGCAATGCGCAATATTTATTTTGTTCAACCCCCAACACCAAGTCCGACGATTTATTTCTCAGCCGCTCGTCTCCGCAAGATGGCGTCGCGTGACGTCAGAGTCTACAAACATATTTCCACCTGGCTTATCGCTCACAGCTGCTTCCGCCGATAGTACAACTTAGTTTCGTTATCATGTCTGATTCTGAGTAGACTATAGACTAAAAGCTTTAGGAATCCAAACTATAACATATAATAAGTACCCTGTATCAAAATTGATGCAAAACAAGTGAAATTTGACCTTTTTAGAGAGGTGACCTCTGGGTAATTTGGGAACCATCAGTTCCATTTGAACTTTTTCACTGTAAAAATCATTTTATTACTTTGAATTATCACTATAGGTATTCATTCCATCCAAATACAACTGTTGTGAAAAAAAAACAAAAAACATACTCTGTTATCCTCTTAGCCCCACGGACCCGAAATCGCGTCATTTGCAGGAAACGACGTCTAAGGAACCTTAATATTTAATAAACTATGAATATATTATATCCATATAACGGGGAAAAACTCATTTAACTGATCTTTTTCATTTATTTAAAAAAAAAAAAACACAATGCTAACAGTGAGCCTCTGAATTAGCCCCGAGCAAAAAATGCTAACCTATTACTGCACCGAAAATCACTCCTAACTCCCTTATTACTTATCCTAGCTCCACATCCAACACATTGTTTATGATCGTAAAGACACAGAATCTAACGGTGCCCACCTCAACACTGAAAGATACAGTTATCAACAAAAACGTACATCAAAACAAGTGGCGCTAGGTACTAACATGAGCTAGGCTTACCTTCCTCTTTGTCTGGTATAAAATGGCATTAAAACGATAAAAACGATGATGTAGTTAATCCATAGGTTAATATCCAATGGGGCTGTGTCCCCTTTGAAATGTTCTGATAATCTATAAGCAATAAAACTGCAATTCCATTATCTGCTGTCCGCTCTGTGCTCCGTGCGCTTTGAAATCAAATCAAAATTGGTTTACCTCAATTCTTTGGCGTTTCTGCATTGCCCGGCTCTTTCGTTCTTTCGGGGGGGGGTTTTTGTGCTCAAATATGGAGGGGACGGCTCCGGGTTTCAGCCTCCGATGTACTTTAAAATGCTTCTCCACCAACAGACTTGACGATGGCAGGATCAACATCGTATGCATCAGACGCGAAGTGGTCAGAGCACAACTTGCTCCATTTTGTCGGCTGCCAGCCAACACGATTCACTAAAATAATCCAGTTTCGGCGGATGATTTTGTCTTGGGGAAATGAATGAAAAATTCTCCCAGATCCCGCACCGTTCGTACATCCGAAAGCACAACAATAACCCATGTTTTGCGTGATTTCGCGGATATAATTCAGAGTTTTCTTTTCGAAAAACACCGCTGACATGTGAACAGCGCACGAGACTGCCGAGTCGGGATATTTGGCCCAGAGACTGTTGGCCAAAATGACGTCGCGCGCGGAGGCTGCTGGGAATGACATGTCAGAAATTCAGACGGCTTTGGGTCGAGTTTTGTATCAATAAAAAGCTTTTTTTCGGGTGTATTATCTCGATTTAAATTAAATAAAAAATACAAGCAGTCTTAAAAACAACATTTCTATAAAAATGTAGCATATTTGGAAGCTTTGCATTTGATCTTTAACTTAATTTGAGTTTTCCCGGCACTTGACTGATTTTGTATCGCTTTGCATTCTGGGTTAACAGACTGGAAAGTGATTGGTCACTTTTTCTGTCAATCAAGTAAAGTCCTGAATTAAGTGGCAGGGAGGCCAAGGGAGGAGGATCAAAACCTGTTTTGTCTATTTTAACAGAGCTGGATTTTTTTGTTTATGAATGACTCGTGATCTACCAGCATTGGTCGACGTACTGGGCACCTCTGGATTAATCATTTGAATCTCTGTGATTTTGTAGTTTCACAATTCTAAGAGATCAAAGATGTATTTAGTTATTTGGTCATTTTTACACTTTATATACATCTTAATACATCCTATAACAATTTCATTTGTTATGTCTACATATACACAGTACATCAGTACACATCAAAGTTGAGTGAATGGGGGAGTTTACCTGCATGTTCTTCACCTGTGTTTGTAGACATGGTCTGACTTGTCCTTCAACTCCCCTGTGCTTTGAAACCTAAAAAAGGTAAAAAAAATAAAGCTTTTTACTTTACTTTCAAAGAAGCACACATTGTGTTATTGCTTATTCATTGCAGATCAGTTGCAATCAAACCAAAACATCTCACATTAAGAAGTATTTGTCATCCATTGATTATATGCCGTTATTTTCAGTGAACATTATCAGACCAACTCTAGGTAAGTTATTTGAATATGTTGTATTTGGAACCATTACAAAGAACAGAACTACTGTTTGAATGACGCAGAACTAAACATGGAGAAGCAGCGTTCAGTTATTATGCTGCAAATATCTGGAACAAACTACCAGAAATCTGCCGGTCCTCTGCAACTCTGACTACTTTTAATTCCAAGCTGAAGACTTTTCTTTTTGCCGCTGCTTTTAGGGGGACATCTGATTGGCTATAGATAGAAAAAATTACAAGTACGAATCGGGTGACCGTCAGGAGAGTCTCAAAAAACCCACACACGAATGCACAGCGATCCATGCACAGAAAGCGGTTTGTGTTTGCAGGTTCAGAGGTTTTAAGGCCGCTACACACCAACCCGATTTTGGGAGTCAGAGGCTGTCAGAGGCATTCGGGCATTCGTGGCGCCCTACTCAGGTTGGTGTGTCCCGCACCGTCGTCTCTTTACGGCACATTTTCACACAACATGTTGAATCGGCCGCGGGAGGCCAAGGAAAGTCGGGACAAAGAAATCACTCTGATTGGCTGTTCAGCTTAGCGAGTCAGTGCATGAGAAGCGAAGCGGAAGTGAGGGACCAAAACAAACGATTAAGAAGGCACACACAGACGGCTAATCTTTTTCATTTTCATCTCACCTGGACGCAAGAGTTTCTTTTTTAGGTTTACATGTTTTCGATCGACGAGAGAGAGTGAAAATGGAACCCAGACGCTATTTGTTGTTTGTTTATATCACGCTGCCTGTTCTTCTTCTCTCTGTGTATAGTCTGTCTTCCGGTTGTTGCCTCTTTTGAATGACGAATACACACTACCGCTGCCTGCTGGTAAGGACAGTTATTGCCACTCGTCAACTGAAGTTTTTGCGGTGTGTTCGTAGGCGGGCGACGCAGGCGACGTAGAAGTCGGGACTCCGTCGGTACGCGTTCTTTGGTCTCAGGTTGGTGTGTCGCGGCCTTTAAGGCCCTGACACGCCTATCCGATTTTGGGAGTCAGAGGCCGTCAGAGGCAGTAGGGCATTCGCGGTGCCCTACTCAGGTTGGTGTGTCCCGCACCGTCGTTGCTTTACGGCACATTTTAACACCTCCCACGGACCGCCGGCCAAAGAAATCACTCTGATTGGCTGTTGCCTCTTTTGAATGACGAATACACACTACCGCTGCCTGCTGGTAAGGACAGTTATTGCCACTCGTCGACTGAAGTCTTTGCGGTGTGTTCGTAGGCAGGCGGCGTCGCGGACGTAAAAGTCGGGACGCCTTCGGTACGCGTTCTTTGGTCTCAGGTTGGTGTGTAGCGGCCTTTAAACGGAAAACAAATATGTGAGGATCAAAAATACATATGTAAAACTTTTTTCTGTATTTGGATTTTATTTACATGTATATGAAACGGAACACATTTGTGTGTGCATTGAAAAACACAAGCGTGGATCCGGTAATACAAGTGTGACTTCTTTTGCGGATCATGAAATACAAGTGTGAATCTTTCTGTGTGCATGTGTGTATTATGAGACTGTTCTGAGCCCATACAAATGTCTCCCATTTACTTTAGTGTTTGAAAAACACTTATCTTGAAATTATTCCAAATAGGGTGTGCCCCTTAAACACATTTTTATAGTTCTTGAATAGTTGATGAGTGAGTAGGCAGAGATGTGTTAAAAATGTAATAGTTTTTTATGTTTTTCCAAAATATTGACGGTCCCTTAACGAAACCCTGTAGGTTCATCCCATCCACGGATTTACGTAGGATTTTATAAATACCCAGGGCATGCCCATTTCCCTGCTGTAGATATGTGCATTTAGATTTAAAACCATGTCAGTGGGCAGCAGCACAAGTGATCTTTGAAGTACTGCATGAGAATCAGATTAAATGTTCCAATGAATGGTCCACGTTATAATCAGGAAACTCAATTTTTGAAAATGTATTTTGTCAATATTTTGTAAATTGTTAAAGTAAAGGTAAATAAATTCACACTATACAGAAGCCATCATTGTTCATTTCTCTCTCAAGTGTATCAACATAAATGTGGTAATTTAGTCTGTTATACACACCTTCTTCATCCCATCTGTGAGTTTGCATTATTTTGAGTAGGGCTGCAACTACTTTTAAAAACACCAACATGCAGTAAGACATTTTGTTCTGTCGGCTTTGTGTTTCATTTTGAAAATTCACAGGAATAATTATAAAAAGCTGTCATTTTAAAGTTAATTGCACTAATTTACTTAGACCAACATTAAGTAGCTGGATTATGAGCACCATCTTGAGCTTCAAATAATGTAATAGTCATATCCCAGCATAAAGTACATGCAAGACTGATGTAAATATAAATATCTTTATTTTAATGTTTTTATTGTATATTTTGAATTTACCTTCATACGTTTAAATATTTGTATTTATTTTATCAGTTATCGGAAATGTTACTTCAACTTTTTAAATGTAGCCTATCATTATTTATTTGTTCCTATTATTGCACATTTTTACTTATTTTATTGTCAATATCTTTATCGATATCATTTTATTGCATATTTTTAATTAAACTTCTTATGTAAATGTAAATATCTTTATATTAATGTGTTTTTATTGCAAGTTTTAACTTATGTCATTATCTTTATTTGTTGGATTCTGATATCCTTGTATGCCTTTGCTCTAGGTACTTTCATCTTTGGCTGATTTTTACAATAATTAAAAAGTAAGCCTACTTTGCTTTTTTATATGAATTATTACAAGTTCATTTCACCACACTAGGGATTAACTAAGACTAACAGAATAAAAAGGTAAACATTATTTGTTGGCAATCTTTAAACACTTCCTAAGTTACTGAGGCACCTTCCGGCGCGGACTGAAAACTCATCTCTTTCGACTCCACTTCGAGCGATAGAACTATTAACAAAGCACTTTTATACTAATAAAGGGCTGGCTTATCTAAAGCCAGTTGAGTAGCACTTGAAATGTTTTTGCTCTATGAAGCCTGATGTACTTATATGATTCTGTTTTCTTCAAGGTTGTATTTTGTTGGTCGAACGCACTTATTGTAAGTCGCTTTGGATAAAAGCGTCAGCTAAATGCAATGTAATGTAATGTAATGAGGCATTCACCCCAAAGTGAATTAAACTGGAAACACAGGGCGACAACCCACTTCCTGTTTCCTGTTGCACGCTTCAATTTCTGCACTCATGTGAGAGCATTTTCATTTAATATTACA